TTGTTGTTTTATGATTTTGTTACATTAGCCAGTGTAATGGTTTGGCTGCCAATTTTTCAGCTCTATTGTGGGACACGCTCACGTGCTTCCTATAGTGAGCAACAGGAGGCCAAGCTGGCTTCACACCAGAAAGAAAAATAAGCAGCTCTTCCTGCAGTGTCCCTCCCTTTTCTGGATCTGTCTTGCCAATAAGCATCGCAACCAGGAAGGTTCAGAACTGGCAGGAATCTGCCTGCATGGCACATCAACTCATCTACCCACCAAAGTGGTACCTATATATCTACTCACATACAACTTGCTTTCAGACTGCTAGTTGGATAGAAGTTGAGGCAAATGATGGGAGCTCACCCCACCATGAGGTGCTAGGACTTGAACCATTGAAGCAAAGACCATCTCCAGTGTCATAAAGCTACTGAGTTACTTCACCTTTATGTAATCAGTAGAAAATAAGGAAGAAAATAATACAATTACTATATTAAAATATATGTGTAAACGTACTACAGATAGTCCTAACTTAGAGTTTAGTGACTATTCAAAGTTATGACAGTCCTTACACTCAACCATCAGAGTGTCTCTGCAAACATGTGGTCAAGATACAGAATCTGGCAGATATTTTTGAGCATCGCACCATCCCATGATCATCATTTATATGCTTCACATCTAGCTTTCAACAAGCAAGCAATAGAGAAGCTGGCAGTAAAACTACAAGTTCTGGTCATATTCTGTCATGCTTGGTGACCATTAGCTTAACAACCATTTAAAAAATTGAAATTGGTCATGGAAGAGATCAAAGTAAAATTAAAAAATGGAATACACAAATGTAGACATTACTGAATGTTCTTCTCAAAATCGTAATTTGTTATCCAAACCTTACTTTGGTGAACTTTTGATGAACCTAAATGATTATGCAGATTTGTTAGGTCACACAATCATTCTAGTAATTACTACAAAGGAGAATCAGATAATATAACAGATATATTGTGAGTATGTTGGGCATGGTTTTTAAAAACAATCTCTCTAAATTGCAGCATGGAGATGAATTACTGTACTATGATATAAACAACAATGCCCTCTCAGATGCAAACAAGAAAATACTTTCAATAATTTCACAATAATTTGATATCAAATATTTTGATGAAGCAGGAGCAGTGAGTAATTTATGATAGCAAATGTCTGTGCCACATAGGCAATCAAAAGTATAGTTTACTTGGCTGAAGGCTATTTATTTTATTTGGTTCATTTAAAAAGTGTCTCCGTATATAACATCACTAAGCAAGCAATATTAAATTCTTCAATATGTCAAAGAGCTACAATTTAAAACAATATAATAGCTAGATTTTGCTCATGTTTCCAATTAAATATGATTTCTGACTGCTTATTAAAGAGAGAAGTTGAATATCAAACCATCTCTCTGATAGTTTTCCGCTCTCGGTAAATGTTATATTAGTCACCAAAAGCTGTACTGAAGAATGTGGAATGGAAATAACATAGAGGTGCCCAGGCATAGCTATTCTAAACTCCTAAGACCTGCATAAAACTCAGCCTGCATAAAGCTCTCTTAAACTACATGAACACCCAAAACCTATCATTAATACAGCAGACTGCAGATACTTAACACTGTGACAACTCTTTTTCTTAATGTCTAAACTGTCAGAGTAAATGTAAACTATTTAAGGGCTTCTGGAGAACTTGCCTCCTTGAGATTTAAATTGTTCTTCCCAACTCCTTCAAATGCTGACAATTTAAAAGAAGGAAGAATGTTATTTTATGTGTGTGGTAAGATTTTTTTTCTTGTTTAAAGCAAAACTGCTTTTGCTTCATTCCTAAGAGTAAACCAGCCTGATGCAGTTCAAATTCACCTCCGTGCTGTGTTCTTAGCAAGAACAGATATTTTTGTCAGGTATTTTAAATATCATTTCATGATATTAAAACTCTCTCCAGCTCACAAAGAGACAGCTATAGAACAGAAGTAGAAAAGGCTGCTCAGGGATGATGATGACAGAGCATGGCCAGATCAGCCAAATTAACACCTCTGTATATATATTTCCAATTGGACACCAATGTCATGTCCTATGTAAAGGAGGCAAATAACAGATTATATACATTTTATTTTTATTTTATTTATTTATTTATTTATTTGATTTGTCAATCGCTTACAAGACAATAGGTATAAGGATATACATAGTTATGAATACATGAAATGGGTACATATAAGAAAAATAAAAGAAACAATAGGACAGGGACGGTAGGCACGTTGGTGCGCTTATGCACGCCCCCTCCAGACCTCTTAGGAAAGGGGTGAGGTCAATAGTAGACAGTCTAAGGTTACAGTTTTTGGGGTTTGGGGAAGAAACCACAGAGTCAGGTAGAGTATTCCAGACATTGACCACTCTGTTGCTGAAGTCGTATTTCCTGCAATCAAGTTTGGTGCGGCTAACCTTGAGTTTGTATCTATTGTTTGCTCTTGTGTTGTTATGGTTGAAGCTGAAGTATTCATTGACAGGTAAGTCATTGCAATGTATGATTTTATATACCATATTTAGATCAGATCTAAGACGGCATAATTCAAGGTTTTCTAGGTCTAGAATTTCAAGTCTGGTGGCATAAGATATTCTACAACGAGTAGAGGAGTGAAGAACTCTTCTTGTGAAATATTTCTGGACTTTCTCAACGGTATTAATATCAGATACGTAATGTGGGTTCCAGACTGATGAGCTGTATTCGAGTATTGGTCTAGCAAATGTTTTGTATACTCTAGTTAGTAGTGTGATGTTACCAGAGAAAAAGCTACGTAGGATTAGGTTAACAACTCTTAATGCCTTTTTGGCTATGTAATTACAGTGGGCTCTAGCACTTAGATCGTTAGAGATGAGTATTCCAAGATCCTTTACAGAGCTTGGATCATCAACAAGATCTTGACTATTCAGCTTGTATTTTATTTTCTGATTTTTTTTGCCAATATGTAAGACATTTATTTGTTGAGATTTGAAGTTGCCATTTTTTTGACCATTCTGATACATAGTCAAGATCTTTTTGAAGGGTAGT